TGGATTAGCAGTCCATCGCTTTAACCATTCGGCCACCTTGCCGATGCGTCATGACACCCGCATGTGTCTGCGTAAATAGACACCTAAGTGATGGGCAGATTAAGGGAACATCATTGATTGCCTCGTAAAATAATGGCCACCTCGCAATACGTTCCAACTATCGAAAATGAGGCAGAAAGATCGCCGAGGGTGGCACTCGAACCCACGCGGGAATAGCCCATTGGATTAGCCGTTCATCGCCGTAACCACTCGGCCACGTCACCAACACGTCATGACTCCCACATGTTGCTGCGTAAATAGACACTTTGGTTATGGGCAGGTGAAAAAACATCATTGATTGCCTCGTAAAATATAGGCCTCCTCGCAATACGTTCTGAGTATCAAAAATGAGGCAAAATGATTAACGAGGGTGGGACTCGAACCCACGTGAGCACAGCCCAATGGATTAGCAGTCCATCGCCTTAACTACTCGTCCTCCTCGCCGACGCGTCATAACTCCCGCATGTTGCTACGTAATTAGACAGCTAAGTGGTGGGCAGATGAAGGAACAGCATTGATTTCCTCGTAAAATAATGGCCACCTCGCAATACGTTCCGACTATAAAAAATGAGGCAAAATAAACGACGAGGGTGGGACTCAAACCTATATGGCACAGCCCAATGGACTAGCAGCCCATCGCCTTAACCACTCGGCCACCTCGCCGACGCGTCTTGACTCCCGCATGTTGCTGCGTAAGCAGCCACCTCAGTGATGGGCAGATGAAGGAACATCATTGATTGCCTCTTGAAATATAGGCCACCTAGCAATGCGTACCGACTATTAAAAGGAGGCATAATGATCGACGAGGGTGGGACTCGAGCGCAGGCGGGCACAGCCCATTGGATTAGCAGTCTATCGCCTTAACCACACGGCCACCTCGCCGACGCGTCATGGCTCCCACATGTTGCTGTGTAAATAGAAAGCTAAGTGATGGGAAGATAAAGGAAGATCATTGATTTCCTCGTAATATATTGGCCACCTCGCAATACCTTCTGACAATCAAAAATGACGCAAAATAATCGACGAGGGTGGGACCCGAACCCACGTGCTCACAGCCTATTGGATTAGCAGTTCATCGCCCTAATCACTCGGTCACCTCTCCGGCGCGTAATGGCTACCGCATGTAGCTGCGTAAGCAGACACCTCTGTGATGGGCAGATGAAGGAACATCATTGATTGCCTCGTAAAATATTGGCCACCTCACGATGCGTTCCGATTATAAAAAATGAGGCAAAATGATCGACGAGGGTGGATCTCGAACCCACGTGGGCACAGCCCAATGGATTAGCAGTCCATAGCCTTAACCACTCGAACACCTCGCAGATGTGTCACGACTCCCGCATGTTGCTGCGTAATTAGACACCCAAATGATCGGCAGATGAAGAAACATCATTCCTTTCCTCATAAATAATGGCCACCTCACAATCCGTTCGGACTATCAAAAATTATGCAAAATGATCGACGATGGTAAGAATCGAACCCACACGGTCACAACCCAATGGGTTAGCAGTCCGTCGCCTAAACCACTCGGCCACCTCTCCGACGCGCAATGGCTCCCGCATGTGTCTGCGTAATTAGACACCTAAGTGATGGGCAGATCAAGGACCATCATTGATTTCCTCATCAAATAATCCCCACCTCGCAATACGTTCTGACTATAAAAAATTAGGCGAAATGGTCGACGAGGGTGGGACTCAAACCCACGTATGCACAGCCCAATGGATTAGCAGCCCATCGCGTTAACTACTCGGCCCCCTCACCGACGTGTCATGACTCCCGCATGTTGCTGCGTAAATAGACACCTCAGTTATAAGCAGATGAACGAACATAATTGATTTCGTCGGAAAAAATTGGCCACACCGCAATACTTTCCGACTGTAAAAAATTAGGCAAAATGATTGACGAGGCTGGAACTCGAATCCTCGTGGGCACAGCCCAATGGATTAGCAGTCTATCGCCTTAACCACTCGACCACCACGCCGACGCGTCATGACTCCTGCATGTTGCTGCGTAAATAGACACCTCAGTTATGGGCAGATGAACGAACATCCTTGATTGCCTCGTAATAAATGGCCACATCGCAATACGTTTCGACTATAAAAAATTAGGCAAAAAGTTCAACGAGGGTGGGACTTGAGTCCACGTGGGCACAGCCCAATAAATTAGCAATCCATCGCCTTAACCACTCAGCCACCTCGCCGACGCGTCATGGCTAAGGCTTTCAGCTGCATAAATACACAGCTAAGTGAAGAACAGATGAAGGAACATCATTGATTTCCTCGTAAAATAATGACCACCGGGCAATACCTTCCGACTATCAAAAATGAGGCAAAATGAAAGACGAGGGTGGGACTTGAATCCACGTGGGCACAGCCAATGGATTAGCAGTGTATTGCCTTAACCACTAGGCCACCTCACCGACGCGTCATGAATCGCGCATGTGACTGCGTAAATAGACACCTCAGTGATGGGCAGATGAACGAGCATTACTGATTGACTCGTAAAAAATGGCAACATTGGAATACTTTTCGACTATCAAAAATGAGGCAAAATGATCGACAAGGGTGAAACTTGAACCCAAGCAGGCACAGCCCAATGGATTAGCAGTCCATCGCTTTAACCATTCGGCCACCTTGCCGATGCGTCATGACACCCGCATGTGTCTGCGTAAATAGACACCTAAGTGATGGGCAGATTAAGGGAACATCATTGATTGCCTCGTAAAATAATGGCCACCTCGCAATACGTTCCAACTATCAAAAATGAGGCAGAAAGATCGCCGAGGGTGGCACTCGAACCCACGCGGGCATAGCCCATTGGATTAGCCGTTCATCGCCGTAACCACTCGGCCACGTCACCAACACGTCATGACTCCCACATGTTGCTGCGTAAATAGACACTTAAGTTATGGGCAGGTGAAAAAACATCATTGATTGCCTCGTAAAATATTGGCCTCCTCGCAATACGTTCTGACTATCAAAAGTGAGGCAAAATGATTAACGAGGGTGGGACTCGAACCCACGTGAGCACAGCCCAATGGATTAGCAGTCCATCGCCTTAACCACTCGGCTGCTCGCCGACGCGTCATAACTCCCGCATGTTGCTACGTAAATGGACAGCTAAGTGGTGGGCAGATGAAGGAACAGCATTGATTTCCTCGTAAAATAATGGCCACCTCGCAATACGTTCCGACTATAAAAAATGAGGCAAAATAAGCGACGAGGGTGGGACTCAAACCCATATGGCACAGCCCAATAGATTAGCAGCCCATCGCCTTAACCACTCGGCCACCTCGCCGACGCTTCTTGACTCCCGCATGTTGCTGCGTAAGCAGGCACCTCAGTGATGGGCAGATGAAGGAACATCATTGATTGCCTCGTGAAATATAGGCCACCTCGCAATGCGTTCCGACTATCAAAAAGGAGGCATAATGATCGGCGAGGGTAGGACTCGAACGCAGGCGGGCACAGCCCAATGTATTAGCAGTCTATCGCCTTAACCACTCGGCCACGTCGCCAACACGTCATGACTCCCGCATGTTGCTGCGTAAATAGACACATAAGTGATGGGCAGATCAAGCAACATCATTGATTTCCTCGTAAAATAATGGCCACCTCGCAATACGTTTTGACAATCAAAAATGACGCAAAATAATCGACGAGGGTGGGACCCAAACCCACGTGCTCACAGCCTATCGGATTAGCAGTTCATCGCCCTAATCACTCGGCCACCTAGCCAACACGCCATGGCTCTCGTATGTTGCTGCGTTAATAGACAGCTAAATGATTGGCAGATGAAGGAACATCATTGATTGCCTCGTAAAATAATGGCCCCCTCGCAATATGTTCCGACTATCAAAAATGAGGCAAAATGGTCGACGAGGGTGGGACTCAAACCCACGTGGGCACAGCCCAATCAATTAGCAGTCCATCGCTTTAACCACTCGGCCACCTCGCCGACAAGTCACGGCTCCCGCATGTTGCTGCTTCATAGACAGCTAAGTGATGGGCAGATGAAGGAAGATCATTGATTTCCTCGTAAAATAATGGCCACCTCGCAACACGTTCTGACAACCAAAAATGACGCAAAATGATCGTCAAGGGTTGGACTCGAACCCACGTGCTCACAGCCCAATGGATTAGCAGTTTATCGCCTTAATCACTCGGCCACCTCGCCGACACGTCATGGCTCCCGCATGTAGCTGCGTAAATATGCAGCTAAATTATTGGCAGATAAAGGAATATCATTGATTGCCTCGTAAAATAATGGTTACCTTGCAATACGTTCCGACTATCAAAAATGAGGCAAAATGATTGACGATGCTGGGACTCAAACCCATGTGGGCACAGCCATATGAATTAGCAGTTTATCGCCTTAACCACTCGGCCACGTCACCGACACACCATGCCTCCCGCATGTTGCTGCGTAAATAGACACTTGCAGGTAAAAAAACATCATTGATTTCCTCGTTAAATAATGGCCACCTCGATATACGTTCCGACTATCAAACATGAGGCAAAATGATCAACGAGGGTGAGACTCGAATCCACGTGGGCACAGCCCAATGGATTAGCAGTCCATCGCCTTAACCACTCATCCTCCTCGCTGACGCGTCATAACTCCCGCATGTTGATGCGTAAATAGACAGCTAAGTGATGGGCAGATGAACGAACATCATTGATTGCCTCGTAAAATAATGGCCACATCGCAATACGTTTGGACTATAAAAAGTTAGGTGAAATGTTCGACGAGGGTGGGACTCGAGCCCACGTGGGCACAGCCCAATAAATTTGCAGTCCATCGCCTTAACCACTCGGCCACCTCGCCGACGCGTCTTGGCTACCGCATGTAGCTGCGTAATTAGACAGCTAAGTGAAGGACAGATGAAGGGACATCATCAATTTCCTCGTAAAATAATGACCACCTCGCAATGGCTTCCGACTACGAAAAATGAGGCAAAATGATCTACGAGGGTGGGACTCGAACCCACGTGGGCACAGCCCAATGAATTAGCAGTCCATCGCCTTAACCACTCGGCTACCTCGCCAACGCGTCATGCCTCCCACATGTTGCTGCGTAAATAGACAGCTAAGTGATGGGCAGATGAAGGAAAATCATTGATTGCCTCGTAAATTAATGGCCACCTCGCAATACGTTCCTACTATCGAAAATGAGGCAAAATGATCGACGAGGTTGGCACGCGAACCCATGCGGGCACACCCCAATAACTTAGCAGTCCGTCGCCTTAACCACTCGGCCACCTCGCCAACGCGTCATGGCCTCCGCATGTTGCTCCGTGATTAGACACCTATGTGATGGGCACTCGAGTCGATAAGCTAGGGAAAAGCAACGTAGATAAAGCTGTGGCTTTGATGGCACAAGATTTAGACAAGCTAGAATATCGTAGCCGACGCATGAACCTAGAAATACATGGCATTAGGGAAACTGAGGGTGAGGATCTTGTGGCAAAAGTGAATGAAATTGCGAAACAAATATCACTTTCCTTCCTGACCCGCAGTGATCTTGAAACCATCCATCGGCTACCCGCTAAGCCAGGAAAAACTCGTGGCATTATTGTGCGCTTCATGAATAAGGAAACAAGGGACAACTGGCTCTCAAAGCGGGGACAGCTAAAAAGCGAAAACAGTAAGACATACATTTGTGAGAACATGACTCGACAGGCACGAAAACTGCTCACTATGACCAAAGAATGGGCTAGAAAAACGGGTTTTGCATTCGTGTGGCATGCCAACGGTAAGGGGCTAGTGAGGCGAGCGAATGGCGAAAGAGCAGTGGTCATTCGGGGAATTGAGGACATGATGCGTTTATCATGAAGAGTGGTAACACTTTTGTATTTCTCGTGTGATCCAGTCCCATGTCGTACTCATCATCCGAATTCCTACGCGATCTTCCAACCTTAAGAAGGGGCTCTGCACTCTCAGTTTTTCATTTAAATTCCAAAGTTTAAGAAATAATTTTGATGAGATAAGCATGTTGTTGTCGGAATCTAATTATCCATTTGATATAATTTGCTTTACTGAGACATGGTTGTCATCAGATGATGATTGTATTTTGATTGATGGTTATGAGTGCATTTCTGCATACCGATTACGAACGCGTGGTGGTGGTGTCTGTGTGTATGTCCGTGCAAACCTCCCATATAGAATTGTTGCCGAGTTTAAGGTCGTACGTGATAGCTATGAGTGTATAATGTTAGAATGTTCTAATGTGTTATTTTCTGTGATTTATCGCCCTCCTACTGGTTCAATAGAAAGCTTTTTGAATTTCATTGAGAAATCACTGGTGAGATGTCTAGATTCTCGCTTACAGACTGTCTTGGTAGCTGACTTCAACATCAATGTGTCACTAGATAACCCCAGCTACGTACGCCTAAATGAACTAATCGAAGCATATGGTTGTAAGAATGTAATTAGCACCCCAACAAGAATAACCGCCACATCGGAAACAACGTTAGACCTATGTATTTCAAGTTTCGATACTACTGATGTCAAAGCAGGCGCAATTACTAGCGACATTAGCGACCATTTTCCAACATACTGCTTCCTACCAGGCAATCGTGTAATCAAAAATAAGAATTAAATGCTCTTTAGGAGTTATTCTAGCCGCGACTATAAACTTTTTGAGAACCTTATCTCTGGAATTGACTGGAGCACGGTTACAGAAGAAAGAGGTCTTAATAAATCTTACAACATATTTTTAAAACACTTGACATCTTTATATGACGCCTGCTTCCCTCTTAAGCCCTACAAGAAACACAGAAAATGCAGAAACCCATGGGTGACAGTGGAACTATACAACGGAATTAAAGTCAAAAACAACCTTTTTCAAGTTTTCCTATCTTCCGGAGACGAAAATGATTCACGTAATATCAAAAAAATTCGTAATACACTGAACAAAGATTTGAAGAAAGCCAAGACGAAATACTACATTAGTAAATTTACCACTCATTCAGGAGACGCGCGCCTGCTGTGGGACAAAATAAATCAGCTCATTACCAAAAAGGAGATATCCAGACGAATAAAATTTGAAAAACTGGGCATGAGTAAATCAGAAATCGCTCACACCTTTAACAAATACTTTTTAACAGTTCGTGAGTCTACCACAGACAGCACGGAAACGTGTTGCGAGAACTATATAGCATCAAATTACCCGTCTAGTGTATTCGTGTTTCCTACTCATCAACAAGAAGTGGTAAAGCTTATCACGTCATTAAAGGATAACTGTGCTTGCGGCCCAGATGACATTAAGCCAAAGCCTTTAAAGGCTATAAGTCACATTAACGCTACACCACTTACGCACATTTATAACTTGATGTTATCTTCAAGTGTTTTTCCCGATCAAATAAAACTTGCGAAAGTAACTGCCATCCATAAAGGTGGGTCATTTGATGAGCTTAACAATTACAGACCTCTATCTGTACTCTCTGTGTTTGCGAAAATGGCTGAACGAGTTACATATAAGAGGATTACGGTCTTTCTAAACGCAAACAATGTAATACCAAAAGACCAGTATGGATTTTGCAAAAACAAGTCTGCTGAGCCGGCTCTACTCAGCATCAAAGAATACATTCTAGACAACATTGAAAACAAAATCTTTACACTAGGAATATTTCTGGATTTTAGAAAGGCATTCGACAGTATACAACACGATCTACTTTTACGAAAACTACCGTACTATGGGATTCGGGGTACCACAGCCCAATTAATACAAAGTTATTTCTCGTCTAGCAAACAATATACCGTTGTAAATAATACACACTCTCAAGTTGAACACATAAAGTATGGTGTCCCCCAGGGATCGATTCTTGGACCAATCCTATTCCTGCTGTTCATTAATGATATCGTAAATATCGATGGACACAAGAAAATATTATTGTATGCTGATGACACAAACGTTTTTCTCGCAGGTTCAAACGTATGTGAACTATATAATAAAGTTAACGTTTGGATGGAGAAACTAAATTCATGGTTGAATGCAAATAAACTTCAAATGAATATTGCTAAAACAAAATACATGTTTTTTAAGCCTAAAGGAGTAGCTCACATACCCTGCACTCCAATTTACTTCCAGAGCACCGAGATTCAGCCCACATGCCGGAAGAAAAGAAGGTGCGATACCTGAGGCACGGAGTGAAGGAGCAGTTGTTCAGTGGTCTTGTACGCAGCCCATCCAAGAGTAGATTGGAATTTTACGCTGAAGCTGTCCTAGTTGAAAGCACGCTTTGGCAACGAACCCAGACGTACGAACGAAAAGCCAACTTTGCCTCCACTACAGACTACATGAGCGGTCTTGGGGGCCAGGTCGACTTCTTCGGAGAGCTAATACGCTCTGTTCTCCGCAAAGGAATGCCGAAAATATGAGTACTCTCGGCGCCCAATGTAAGTTCTTTGTCCGGCATCGTCCCAAACGAAGTTCAGTAGGCACTACAAGAACTGCCCTTTCAGACAGAACCGCGGCCCCTAATAGACTTCCCTCGCATGTTGTATGCTCAACCTCAGCTCCAGCCAGCACACCTTTGGCTTCATTTCCCACCGCGGCCCCTACCATGCTTCTGGCAGTCCAAGCGGACCAACACTGCACCACATTTCATTTTTTTGGTGCGCCAACCTGCACCACATTTCAATCCGCTCCACACCACGACCCCAGCCATGCTTCAGGCAGTCCAAGCGGACCGGTACTACAGCAACCACCTACCGACTTCGGGAAAATCAGACGTCTGGTGGGCCCCCATCTCGTGCTCTTTGCTATCACTGTGCCTAACATGGGCACATATACTGACAGTGCACTTATTGAAGGCTGGGACTTTGCGGTTTTTCGGCAAACTCTCCACTTCCCACGTTCGGCCAGCGGCCTCCAAAAATTACAAATACGTTGCCCAGCAGCGTGGATTGACATCTCGGCACTATTCACGCTCTTCATCACTGCGGTGTTTCTCGCCTAATTGTGGCACTTATTCAGGCATGGCGCAGGGCCGGTCACATAGCCCGCGTCGGAAAACTAGCCACAGCAAACTTCGGGGGCAAGGCCGCTCAGTCTGGTCATGCTCAACGCCGCCTATTGACGCGGACTGACGATACTGACGATAAACCGGTGACGACATCACCCGCTGATTGGGGAAGAGTTTCACTAGGTACTCCTGTTCTGCTAGATAGTCGCGCAGTCAGCGCTTTAGTGGACACTAGTGCGCACCCTTCCATAGTTGGCAAAAACCTAGCCACCCTTCTGAAAAATTAACAACGCCTTGGAACCGACCGCCAGTTCACACAGCGGGCAAGCGAATCGTCGCACCACTAAGTATGTGTACAGCGAAATTGCAGGTCTATGGCTGTACTTTTGTTGCCTATTTGAGCGTTCTTCTTCGGTGGTCTCGAGACCTGATTATTGGCATAAATTTTCTCAAGGAGCACGGTGCTACAATTTATATTTGGCGGGGTCTAGTAACGTTCTCGATCACGAACACCACAAGACCTTATGCAGACCTCGGCCACTCCCGAGTGCTCTTCGCGTCGTCGGTGGCACTGTCACATTACCACACTGTGCCAGCATCATGGTTCAGGTGGTGTGTGATGATGTGATGCACGGTGAAGCAATCATGGAGAGCAATCACTTACTTCTGCTTCTCAGGGTGTCTGTGTAGCGAGAAGTCTTGTTGATCTTCGTGATGATCATTGCGGCGCTCTTGCCACAAACTTTAGCTACGAGCACAGGTACCTTTTCCCTGAAGATGTCATTGCCTAGGTCGACCCAGTCGGAAATGTCACCGAGTGTTTTGCTTCCGAGGCCATTACCCTGCCGCGGTGGTCTAGTGGCCAAGCTACTCGGCTGCTGACCCGCATATGTCACGAGATCAAATCTCGGCTGCGGCAGGTGCATTTCCAATAAAGGCGGAAATGTTGTAGGCCCGTGTGGTCAGATTTGGGCGCACGTTAAAAATCTCAGGTGGTCTAAATTTGCGGAGCCCTCAACTATGGCGTTTCTCATAATCATATGGTGCTTTTGGGACGCTAAACACCACATGTCATCAAC